AAGGAGATAGCAGATCGATTTCGGATGGTGCTTGCGCTCCTGAACTTGTGCCTACTCTTTCCAGCCATCACGGAGGCTTGTCCAAATTCTGGTCGAAATGAATACACTAACATACATTGTTCCAGTGGTGTCCTTGTGCGATTGAATCCAACATCCGTCGAAAAGGTTTTCCTGCTTGAAGAAGGCATCGATCAGCTGGAGCTCATCTATCGCATTATAAAAAATGCCGATGTTCCCCATGTTGATCGTCTTATCAAGGTGAAGCGGTCAACGAAGACCGCCACATTTGAGCCTTGCGGTATGATGGTAAAACCATCAAACTTGTTGGAGTTATTTGTTGCCCTTCGATTCGTCCTTGAGGCTATGATTGTACTTCATCGTGAATTGGTGATCCATCGAGACATCCGCTGGTCAAACGTGATCAAGCGACGTGATTGTGACGCATGGTTCTTAATCGATTTTGCTGATGCAGCAATAAGCCCGCAACACTTCCCCAACGGCGAACACCTGACCAACGAAGAACATGCACCCGAGATATTCGTGAGCGGCGGGACTCACACAACTGCTGTCGATTTATGGGGGGTGGGATACTTAATTGAGACAAGTTTTGTGAATTGGGATGACCTATCGCAACGAACGGCATTTGTGAAGCGGTTGATGATGAAAGATCCGAATGCGCGACCAACAGCAGAACAAGCTCTGAGTGATTTGGTGGAGCTCCAAGCAGGGGCTATGCAGGAGCAACTGGTGGTTGATAGCTTGCGTCAGAAACAAATACAGGTATGCAATGAATCCAAGCGGAAAATTGAAAACGAAAAAAGAATGAGGATTTCAAAGCGGAACAAGAACAGAAGATGAAGTGCAATCTCACCTGGGAGAAGTAATCCGTAGCAACGTGGAGTATCATTTGAAGTAATATACTGTCGTGATTCTTTCTCTCGTTGGTGGGGAACTAAGAGGGTTGGGCAAATATGCTTAGGATCAGTAGGATTCGATTTGTGGGCCGAGAATATTGGTGAACTAAAAAAAACACGGATTTTGTTCAGTAATATAACCAGCGAACTTTTAAACGTGGAAGCCTATAATTCAAATGGTACTATAGAAGCGCAACGTGTAGGAAATTCTGACCAGTCAGATCAAATTGGAGAAGTCCAT